TAGCCATTGACTCTGTCGGCGACAGTCTCGGTCTTACCTGAAGGTCGAGACGGGTGGGAGGGGGGAGGTGACGTCGGCAAACGGGCTTCTGCGTCACCTCATGGTAACGTGACGATGAGGAAGCCATTGATTCGTAAAGGGTGGGGTGGATGGGGAATCGCCTCCGTCTCTTTTCGCATCCCGCTTTGGAGCGGCGCCCTCGAAGCCGAGCGTCGTCGGGCCATAATTACGGGTCGGGCTCAGCTGGCGGCCGACCCGTGGACATCGCACTCTGCTTTTACGGCCTTTCATTGTCATTCGAAAGCGGCTCCGGCGGGGGGGGTGGGTCACCTCACCTCGAGGCACGGAAGCTCGCGCCAAGTCGCTCGGCGCCGTTCAATGGGGACGGCCCGAGGTGCTTCTTTGGCTCCTGGCCAACGGCGCGATCCTTTCTCGCCTTTGCCTTGCTCTCGTGCCGCCGTTGGCTCGTGCGTTTCCTTCCTGTGCTTTTCCTTCCGATGATTGAGTGGCTCGGGAGGTTCGGTTGAGCAGAAAAGTGGCAGATGGCAGCGGGGCTATCTCCGGAGCGGAGGAAGGAGGACGCGGACAAGAAAGCGCACGACCAGCGGCGGTGAGCGCGCGCCGCTGGCCGCGCGGCCCAAGGCCGCCGTGCGAGCGTCTCGCTGAAGCGCTTTCTTTTTTGAATCACCTGCGCGCACTGCATCCCGATGGTTCACTGCCATAGAGCAATTCCCCCATTTCGCTTCAAAGGTGGCCAAATGTTTGAAAAAAAAAAAAAGTGTGTTCTCACAAGTTTGCTTTTGGAAGCTTCCATTCCGACTCGCAAAGCCGCTCAGGGCTGCTTTGCGGCTCACAATGGGGGAAGTGTGAGACAATCTTTTGCAGACTCCCCTCAGAGCCCCATGACAAGTCCGGTTTCAACTTTCCCCTTCAGAAAACACGATTGTGGCAACAAGCGCCCGTAGCTTAGGCGCAGGCGCTCTGATTGGGTTAGGCCAGGGGTGTCCAAAGTCGGTCGTCGCGGGCCGCCGTCCTGCCTGTTTTCCAGCTCGCTCTCCAAGGAGCAACGCGCCTGATGCAAATTATCAGGATGGTTCTCATGCTGCTTCGGAGCTGGCTGATGAGCTGATCATCTGAATCAGGAGCGTTGCAGCCGGGAGAGCTGCAAACAGGCAGGAAAGTGGCCCTCCAGGCCCGGAGCTGGACACTCCTGGGTTAGGCAAACGCTGGCGATCGGTCGCCGTAAGACGCGAAGCTGGCCGGCCTTCTCGCAAGACTAAAACGCGTTTCCATCACCGCATGGGGAAAAAAAAAACAAACGCCGGCAGCGGGCAGGCGACGCGTGCAAACGCCGTCCGGCGCGTCTGCGGCCGTCGGCTCAGGTGGCGGAAAGTCTCGGGCGGGTGAGATGCCGCTTGAAAATCTTCTCTGCTGGCAGAACGTCGCTTGGGCTTTGCGGCGGAGAACGCAGACACGGAGAGCATTTTCCAATCGGATGCTTCATTTTGTGAGGCGGGGAAAAAAAAAAAAGGAAAAATCTCTCAATGTTATGAGCAGGGGGTCGACTGCTTTTAGCACGGTGGGATTCCGGACCCCGGCCTTTGCGGGCTTTGCATGTTCTCCCCGCGCCTGCCCGGGTGGCTTTTCTCCAGGTACTGCGCTTTCCTCCCGCATTCCGGAAACGCGCGCGGCAGGTTGACGCAACTGGTTTCATTTGCGTTCCTTTTGCCTCAACTCCAACTTTTGCAACTGATGAATCCGCACACAAACCGGGCTCGGCGGCAAAGCGGCTCGCTTTTGCACCGAAGCGTTCCGGCGCTCCATTTTTGTTCCCAAAACAGGCCCGCTCAGATGTCGCCGCCCTTGCTATTTTGACTCTCTCGCCTCCAGAACATTGCCAATTTGGAAATACTTGGACAGACGGGCTTCCCTCCCAACAGCAAGAAGCTGGCATTTTGGTGGCAACTCGCCTCATTCTGAGTGCCCGCTTGCTCGGACAAAGTACCGGAAAGGCCGCGGAACGGATTCACTGGCTCAATAGCGCGGTTGAGCAAAGCGGAGGGGCGGGCGGTGCACTTGAAGGTCTTCGATGGAATCTCAGGGAGCCGGGAGAGGTGGAAGACATGATTTGCCAGTTTACCCTCAGTGTTTGCCTCGACATTTTAACACCGCGGCTCCAAGCGGAGCTGAGAAGTTTCCCAAGACCCGCTCGCTTTGCCGGTGGGCCCCACGCTCCCGGCCTGTTGTGAGTCACCGACCCCCTCCCAACCCCCCTCTCTCAAGCGGTGGGCTGGGAGTCCTCAGCGCATCACAAGGGCGGGTGAGAACGGGACCCCGCCGCCCCTCTGATGTCCTCCTGTTAGCCACCGCTGGCTTTGCCGCCTTGCGGCAGGACAGCTCGCGGGGCGGCGCGCCATCACACCTCTTCGACGCGCACACGCTAACAACTCCGGGACCTACACGATTTATTCAACCATGGGGGGGACAAGAATAGAAATAATCAGGACCAACATAGCTTCCGCTTGAAATGAAATATCAAATCATCTCTCCCCATTGAAATGAATAGGAATGCCGTTGATCTGTTCCACCCAAAAATGTTTGCAGCCGCATTGCGTTTCTGTCATGATCAAGCATATTTCTTTTTGGGACTGCCAATTGCACTTGTTTTCCTAATTGAGCTGGTCCTGCAACTTATACTCAGGCGGAGGACTGAAACGGGCCCTTGAATGATTTGAGTACCTCGCTAACGAAAAATGCTCGAGGCATTTATTTCTGCTTCGAGAATCCGCGCATTTACGTGCGCACTGTCGGGAAGAAGGCCGATTTCAAAGTAAAGCTTAATTACCAGCGAACACGTGGACGTCAATGCCTGGGTGCGCTTTTATTTTGAAGTAGCAACACTGGCAGCGTGTCGCGGCGTAACGGCTGACTTGACTCTCTTGTAGACTGCGTGGAGGCGTCATTTTTGTCGCGCCCCACCGTCTCGACGGGAGACCACAGCAAAACGTGGGCCCGAGGCACTCTGCGCATGCGTGACAATGCGGGAGCCAAGGAAAAAAACAAAAGAGGCGAGAGACGACCAAACAAAAAGCGCTTCCGTGTGACACAACTTGTCAAGTAACAAAACGGCAGGCGCACTTTGCGCTCTCGTGGAATTTAGAGGTGGAAAAAAAGGCACCAAAACAAAGATACCCTTGCGAAGCATTGGAAAGCTCCGGTCAGAAAAAGATCCAGACGGATGACAAAAAATGGACACCGTTTCACCTTCACGTGTGTCTTGTCAATATCTTGCAAGCGACAGGCAACACGCAAAACAGAAGTCGCGGGAGCAATGACGCTCGCTACCGGACAGTGAAAGAGACGCCACATAGATTCAAAAGAAAAAAGACCTTCCAGTGGTTGAAATGGGCTAAATCACACTTTTGTACGCTGCTTTCAGGGATCTGCAAGTGCTCTGTTATTCCATTCTCGTTGATCGAGCTCACTGACCGGATTGCATTCATTCAGCTCGATGAACTTGAGCGCCGCGAGCCGCGCTGGCCGTGCGAGCGGCGATCGAGTTCGTCCGTGTCACCGAGCGCGTCCGCTTGGATGCCGACAGCCCGACGCGGACGCCCTTCCTTCTGATCACTTTTGGGCTTGCGCAAGTGTGTCGCTTTAGCCGCAAAATCGTGACTGTGGCTCTGACGTCATCTCCGAGGCCAAAAGCAATGGCGGGAGATGGCTCCAAATGCTCACTCACACTGCTTCGAGAGAGGAAAATTGTTTCGGTTTCAGTGGAAGCTGGAATGTGGTTTGATTTGTAGCAAAAAACAGTTTCTGTCAAAATATGCAAAATCTTTGAGGCGGATTTTCAGTCGGTCTGAATATTTGATAGCCGCAGACCTCCTCGGGTGCCACTTGGACAGAATAACTTTCAAGCTTGCAAAAAACAAAAACAAAAAACGGTTCCCTAATAACTTTCTTTTGGCGACTGGTGAGAATTTTTGGTGCTGTACCGCGAGTGGCCAGAAAGTGGTGAAAACGCAGCAAAAGTGTTTGCCAGCCGTCAAAAGAAAGAGGAAGTGCAAGAAGAAGAAGAAGAAGAAAAAGAACAATTAGTCGGATTGGTTCTGCAATCCCATACACACACATACACACACACACACACACACACACACACACACACGCTTTTTCACAAAACATTGCAACTTTTTGTTAAAAAAAAATGACTCTCGCAATATATATTTGTTTAAATTCGCCCCTCAAAACAGTCCTTCATTTTCGTTGTTTTGTTCCTTTTTGTCATGACGACGTTCTCAAGAAAAAAAAGAAACCATCTTTTGGTGTTTCGCGGAGGACTTGACTCAGCAACCCACCACGAGTTTTACTTCATCCTTGGAGTAAATATTTGTTGTCAATGCTTCCAACACTGAATGCAACCAATGCACTGTTTGCTGATGGGCGTTTTGAAGGAAATCTTCTAAAGCTGCGTCTGCATTAACTGGGGGGTGTAGGGGGGGGGGGCTTCATATCTGTTCATTTGCTTTCCAAGCTGCAGTTTGCGACGTGTTTTTGGACCGTTGTCCCCCCCTATTGGTCACTGTGAGACGACAGCCAGCGTCAGCTCCACCAAAACGAGCCTGCCCGCAAGTGGACGAGTGCGAAGGAAAACTTTCACGTTCAGTTGAGCAAACGTTTCATGCCAGGATTTGCACGAGTTTGAAATGTGGGAAAATATTGGACTTTAAGGGAGCATATTGCCACCCCACGCCCAGAAACGATCTCTCTCTACATAAATGTGTGTATGTATGTATTTATAATGTATGTAGTGCATATATATGATGTTTGTCCTCCAAAGAACCTTTTCTGGGGTTGCATTTTCTCCTTTTGTATTCGTGAGCAAAAGAAGACCTTTCGTGTCGAGGAGGTTTCAGCCCTCCCTCCCCATGCCGAATGTTCTCGGGAGTCGGCGTTCCGTCCCCGCCTACCGCCCCCCCCCCCTCCCCGCAATCACTTCCTGGCCCTTGGGATAAATTCTGCGCTCCTCACAACTTGCGAGAGTCGCTCTGCAAGTCACGTTCCCCCAAGCCGAGGAGTAGAAATCCCACTTTGCCTTCGGAGCGCTTTCTTTTCTTGTCCAAAGTTTTCGTCGCAAGCGGGAATCGGAGCGCGCGCCCTCGCCGGCAGGCCGCCACCGCGCTCGCTCTTTCGGGGCGCGCCGCGTGAGGAGTCGCGCGTTTTCTTCTTTTTTTTTTTTTTTTGCGCCCCTCGCCAGTCGTTTCGCATGAATCTTCTCGACCCTTATGTGAAAATGAGCGAAGAACAGGACAAGTGTCTCTCCGACGCGCCCAGTCCCAGCATGTCCGAGGGCTCGGCCGGCTCGCCGTGCCCGTCCCACTCCGGCTCCGGCTCCGGCTCCGGCTCCGGTTCGGACGCGGAGAACGGCCGTCCGTCCGACATGCGCCTGCCGCACGGCGCCGACTACAAGAAGGAAGGCGACGAGGAGAAGTTTCCCGTGTGCATCCGGGACGCCGTGTCGCAGGTGCTCAAGGGCTACGACTGGACGCTGGTGCCCATGCCGGTGCGCGTCAACGGCTCGAGTAAGAACAAGCCGCACGTCAAGCGGCCCATGAACGCCTTCATGGTTTGGGCTCAGGCCGCGCGTCGCAAGCTGGCCGACCAGTACCCGCACCTGCACAACGCCGAGCTCAGCAAAACTCTGGGCAAACTTTGGAGGTAACGTTGCTCAGGAGGCGCAGGCCCGAGAATGCCTTGATTTTTTTTCTTTTCTTTTTTTTTTATTTTTAGGCGGGGCAGGGGGCTGGGGGGGATCTGTTTGTTTGATGTTGTTTTTGCACCGTTTCGACGACGCCGCGCTACTCGTGCTTTTCCGTCGCGTCGCTGCAGCCCGTCACCGTGCGCGCTTTCTCCCCCCGCCAGGCTGCTCAACGAGGCCGAGAAACGGCCGTTCGTGGAGGAGGCCGAGCGGCTCAGGGTGCAGCACAAGAAGGACCACCCGGACTACAAGTACCAGCCGAGGCGGAGGAAGTCGGTGAAGAACGGCCAGAGCGAGCCCGAGGACGGCGAGCAGACGCACATCTCGCCCAACGCCATCTTCAAGGCTCTGCGGCAGGCCGACTCGCCCGCCTCCAGCATGGGCGAGCTGCATTCCCCCGGAGAGCACTCGGGTAAATGGCGCGCACTTTCACCACCGAGCCTCGCCGACGTGCGGCGCTTGCACGTTTGGCTTTTTTTTAGGACGCCGAATGTCTCCCGACTAAAAATCACACTCTTTCGCAATGGAATTGTCGTGGACATTTGCACATGAAATTTTAGTCGGTGAGACAAAAAAAAAAAAAAAAAAAAAAAAGCTGTGGCAGGACACAAGCGAATTTTAGGGATCGACGTGATTGTTGACTTCCGACCCAAAAAGTAGCTGGCTGTCATGCAAAGTCACAGTGGCGTCAAGTGGGAATAACCACAAAAAAAACAGCTGATTGATCCACTTGCGTGTTGGAGTTCAATTCCAGCTCTGTGCCCAAAAATGGAAGAAAGAAATAGAATGAATGCATTGATCAGCCAGCTGGCGCTTTGGGTCAATAATGCCAAACCGCCATTTGAATGGAGCGTTTTAAAAAGTGCCAAAAAGACAATGGATTGGTTGGAGTTTGCTTTGGAATCCCCGATGGAAATTTGCCACGGGGGCTCCTTTCAAGTTACTCGACCCTTCCAAACTTCAGAAGTGCCCGTATTGATGGTTGAAGCGGTGAACATCGCGCACGCTCGATCCCCACACAGCACCGCATCAGTTCCTCCTCGCTTGGCACCAAGTGGCTTCCCGATGATTTGATTTCACTTCAAGACGTCAAAAGCGGCACCTCGGGACTCTGCGCCACTTGAAACCCAGGCCAAACGTAGCTTCTCCCCGACATACCGTACACACGTTTTGATGACGGTCTTTCCGTCGACACGTACCGCCGCTCGTACTTCCTTGGCACCAATTCTTGGTTTTTTATGAGGCGAGGCTTCTTGTGGAGCGTCGGGGAGCCGCGGACGCAGCACAAACACACACCGAAAAACAAAGGGCGAGTGGAAAATGGACCGAGTGCCTGGGAATCAAATAATGAGAAGATATCGGCCCATTCGGAAAGGGTCAACTCGAAAAAGGTGACGGATGGTTCACCTCGCAGCAATTCTCAAAGAGAGAGAACTCACAAAGTGCTTTCCATCGGTGTTCCCCAAACTTTTCCAAATGTCAATGAGCGCCGACAAATTCTACTCTGTGCCATCTCACTGCTTGTCACTGGACACTCGACAGAGAGAGATGAACAAACGCCACGTTTGATTCCATCATCGATGAAGAATGCTTTCCGGGCCAATTTAGTCTCATGGGATCACAGCACGGTGGCGAAGAATCACCGCTTGCCTTGATTCAAAGACAGTGACGTCGTACACGTCATAGTCCAGAGTGTGCATTGGTGGCGGAGCGGGACAGACTGCAAATGAAAAAAAAACCCAGCATATGACGCTAACCATCCTTTGCTCGCCAGCAGGTCAGTCGCAGGGCCCGCCCACGCCCCCGACCACCCCCAAGACGGACCTCCCCCCCGGCAAGTCGGAGCTGAAGCGCGAGTGCCGCCCTGTTCCGGAGGGTCCGAGCCGCCAGCTCAACATCGACTTTGGCGCCGTTGACATCGGCGAGCTGAGCAGCGACGTGATCTCCAACATGGGCAGCTTTGACGTGGACGAGTTCGACCAGTACCTGCCGCCCCACAGCCGGGCCGCCGCCCAAGGCGGCTACGCCGGGGGCTACGGCGCGGGCGGCTCCTTGGTGGCCTCCCAGGGGAGCAACGCTGGGGCCTGGATGTCCAAGCAGCAGCAGCAGCAGCAGCAGCTCTCTCTGAGCACCCTGGCGGGCTCGTCGGCAGGCGAGCCGGCCCAACAGCGAGGCGCTCAGATCAAGACGGAGCAACTCAGCCCGGGTCACTACGGCGAGCAGCAGCAGCAGCAGGGGGGGGGCTCCCCCCAGCACGTGGCCTACGGCTCCTTCAGCCTGCAGCACTACAGCGCCTCGTCGTACCCGCCCGTCAGCAGGGCCCACTATGACTACTCCGAGCACCAGGCGGGCGCCTACTACTCTCACTCGGCGGCTTCGAGCCAAGGCCCCGGCCTCTACTCCGCCTTCGGCTACGTGAGCCCCGGCCAGAGGCCGATGTACACCTCCGCCGCCGACACCGCCGCGGCGCCGTCGGTGCCGCCCACCCACGCTCCGCAGCACTGGGAACAGCAGCCCGTTTACACCCAGCTGTCCCGGCCGTGAGGACTGTCCCCTGCCTGCGCCCTCTAAAAAAAAAAAAAAAAAAACACATTGACCGCCCCCCCCACCCCCACTAGTTGTCTCTCTCTGGGGTCACCGATTGTGTAGCGGTCCATTCACCTGACTCTGGTGCCGGCAGCGTGAGTTGAGTTCCCGCTCGCTGACGGTGCGAGTGGTTGTCTGTCTCTTCCATATTTTCCCTGCGACCGGTCCCGGGCGTGGTCCGTCCGGGAAGGTTTCCCGCAGGCCTGAACAGGATATGGGCTTGCAGAACAGGGACGCGTGGATGCAAAAGAGGAACGGATGCGTTTCTCTGGATTGGCTCCCGGCAGTGCCTTTTTGGAACGCTTGGAATGGTGATTCTATTTTTCTAGATATAATGCCAGGATAAATCCTCCGTGAGGACATAGTGCTCGAAATATATTTTAGTATGTACTGTGTATGTGTTGTGTTGGTCAGCTAATCCGTGCCATCCGCTGGAAATGTCTTCAAGGAGCAGGAATGCCGGCTAGAACGGGGAAAAAAAAACAACCTCAATGGCCTTGCTTCCGTATTTTGGGGGGGACGGGACGCTGCGATGACAGGTTTGTGTGTGTGTGTGTGTGTGTGTGTGTGTGTGTGTTCCCCCCCACTGTACATATTTTTATTCCAGTGGAGGACTGACTGGAGCAGGCTTGCTCAGAGGAGTGGGTAGGGGGAAATGTGTTTATTTATATTCGGAGCATTTGGGCTTTTTCGAACAGCTATTCTGAGGTTTTCAGAATTTTCTGACAGGCCGTAGGTTGCGCTCAAAAACCGTTTTTGGGGGGGAAGGTTGGGGGCTTAGCCCAACCCCAGCTTCCGTCTGCCTTGATACCGCCGGTGCCTGCGGGGCCATCGGCTGGAGGCCCCTTCCACCGGTATTAGGGGGGTTCACACGGCAACATTTGCTCCGGTGCTACGCTGGTGCTGCGCCAGAAGAGCGTTCACACGTGCAAAGTTACACCGGTGTAGCCCCTGAAAACAGCTTACTCCGGAGCAAATTGAACCCACCTCAGGGAGGTGGTTTAAATATTTGCTCCAGAGCAAATGCTCGTTTGCGGGGGGGGGGGGAGTACCCTCGCTATACATGAGAAGAGTTGATTACGTACGGCGAGAATGCGTTGCTTTTGTGCTGTGTTGGACTTCCATCATGTGTTTGTTTAATGACACAGGACATGGCTGGTAACAGTAGCAAGCGGCACCTCTTGGGTTATACCATCTCAACTAGAACGGGGGAGGGGGGGGGGGGGGGGGATTTGTTGATTTACATTTTCGGGGGCGGGGGGCGTTCAACGCCTCTCGAGCTGAAGGCACGGAGACCGAGAAGGAGAAGGACGTGCCTGTACAGTAGTTGCTTGAGTTGCGTATGTTCTAAAAGGAACCAACACGACAGCTCTTTGTTTCGCCCCGCCGCAGAAACTGCCGCGTGAACCCAAGTGGGGCTGCACCGACGCCGCGCCGGTGCTAACGCGCTCGGCGGCTTTGTACGTGTGACCGCTCCACAAAATTTGCTCCGGCGTAAAATCCATGGCAACCAAATACACGGGTGCAGCACCGGAGCAAACGTGTGCCGTGTGAACCCCCCTCTTGCCGCTTCCTGCTCTGAGCAGCCGGCCGGTCTGAGCCCCGGCACACACTTCTGTCCGCCCGAAAAGGCCTTCTCTAACCTCTCTTAATTTATTCTTTAGCATGAATTTTATTGGACAAATTAACTTTTTGTTTGCCGCAAAGATCTTCAGAATTCAGAGGCTTGTCCAGCAGAGTAGATTGCTGTGGTCTTGCTTCGTGGTCCACATGTGTTTATTTATCGTTTGTAAATGTTCCCATTTGATTGTCCGTGTGTGTACAAATGATTTGAGTCCAACTGGAACGTCGCCCTGGCTTTCTCACTGTGTGCTTTGTTGTGGGGGGGAATGGAGGCAATGCCGTTTTGCCTTTTTTGACATTTGTGTTCCTCCTTTTATATTCTGTCTCACTAGTCCTGATTTGCGTCATCTCTGACCGCAGTCTCCTTTTAGGTAAACATGGCGTCGTCTCAAAGAAAGCATATCCTATTTTATTATTTTTATTATTATTATTCTTTTTTTTTGTATCATATTGTTTGCAATAAAAACAAAACACTGTCACCTGTCATCGCCCGCTTTTCATTTCAATGATTTCTACCGGAAGCTTCTTTCGCTTCAATGAATCCAGTTACATCTGGTGGTCACCATGAAGACGTACGTGACCTACGCAAGACTATTTATGACTCGATATGTTTGGAATGAGCAAAATATGGCCGTTGGCTTTTCCTAAAATGCAGGCGACGTGGTCTTGTGATGATTTCATCGATGTTAGTTCCGGCTTCATTCCGCAACAAACAATTTTCGCTTTAGCTCAGCATTCGACGGGCAGCGAGCTGGTTCAGGATGGAAAGCAACCCACAAGCAACTCTTTGGTTGGATGGATGGATGGACGGATCCACTGGTTGCAGTTCTTTACCTTTCCGAGCTTTAGCCGTTGGCAAATGAGCTAACAAGCTCCTGAGAGGAAAGACGCTGTCATGCATAAAGGGGTCGGCTTTGTCTTTTCTCACTTTGCTTTTTTTGTTTACTTTTTGGACTTGGCGTCCATGCGCTCGTGTTTTCCCAAAGTTGCTGAATGGATTCAGGGCCCCTCGTACGGACCGCGTGCTTCCCCACCAAACAGCGGGAGGACATTTGATGAACGTATCCAAGAGGGGATCGGAAACGAGACCAAATTTTTCTTTTCTTTTTTTTCTTCAGACAGGCCTTTGCATGGGCAATTTTCCCAGGGCGACCCCATTATTATTCCGCAGAGACGTTCCCCCCCCCCCGAGCCCAATGGGTGGTCTTTCTGAAGGCAAAGGGAAGAGGAAAAGAAAGGGTGAAAGGCTAAGAAAAAAAGTGATGGATACACCCGCAGAAACTGGAAAACAATCAAATAGAATGGAAAGTCAAAAAAGATGAAGGGTCAATTTGGAGCAGTGGAGTCAAAACCCCATTCCCCCCCCCACCCCCCTCTATATATATGGGGCCATTTCCGTTCGTAAAAGGTCCACCGAGGGTTGCTGTTTGATGCTTTCTAGCGTCTTTATGACCGATTTGCTTTCCTGTTTGTTGTATATGTTCAATTGCTCCATGTGCAGCATGATGTTTGTATGCAGCGACGGCTGTTTCAAAGTGTTGAGTTGAGTTGAGAGGGCCATACGTGGATTGTGCAAGGATTGTTTTCCTGTACATGTTGGTGCGGATGCGAGGTTTTCTGGTTCTTTTGGGAACAGTTCCTCGGAACTTGTATTTGTGCGGCAAAATTGTCACCAAATGACTTTCGTCACGTGTCAAAAATGTGCATCCGGGCAGTCGAGGAAGTTGTTGCTGTTTAAAAAGTCTCCCCGAGTCGCGGCCTTTTCTCCAAAATGCCATCTCGAGGCCTTCCCGCAGTACATTATCTTCCTCCGCGATTCACCCCGCTGGCATCCATCACCAGAAACGGGCCACTTTGTTTTGTATTGGTGTGACTGACTCAATTGCTCTGTTGAGGACGCTTTAAATGGACCCCCGCGCTGAGTTACTTTTCCAAACGGCCCGTAAAAATTCTCCTGGAAGCAAAGGTGGAGGAAAGCGTGCTAAATCACCGGCGAGTTTCCATGGAAGTTTCACCCTCGGCTCAAGAAGCGTGGCGCATTTTCTTCAAGCTGCGCATTAGCGATCGGCGAACGGGCACTCGATCGTTTTTACGGTTGCAGACGACGAATCCGTTTACGAGGAGATCTCGGCGGAAACGCCCCCCCCCAAGAACCTTTGCCGGAAACCACGATTGTCAATCGCCATTCGCCGGATCCCATTTCGGTCACCGATTCGCCGCCAAAACAAAATGTGGGAAATGATCCTTCCCGGCGCCAGCGAAACTTTGCCCCCGCCGCCATCCGTCTTGCGCTCGGCCCCGCGGTGCCGAGTCGCCGTGCCGAGGCCGGGCGCCCCTCCCGCCCCCGCCCGTCTTTGTGCGCCCATGTGCAAGAAAGCCGGCACCGGCCCGGGGGTCGGCGTCCCAAAATGATATTAGCATAATCCCGTTAAGTGTGTCAGAGGCCTCGTGAGCGCCGCAGACGCCTGTGTGAGAGGAAGGTCGGGGGAACCCGAAGCAACCGACCCAAGAATGGATGAAGCCAGAGAAAATGTCCCACCCGTACTCCAACGTGGACAGTTTTACATCGGACACGTATCATCGTGAAAATGTCAGAGGTCGGCGCCAATTACTGGGCTTCGGTAAAAGAAATCAATCAATCAAGCAATAACGATCCAAAATGAGATGCAGTCCGGCCCAAGCGATTGAATTTGTCCTTTTAACCCTCCAACGTGAGCGCGGCAACGGGATCGTCGAGTCACCGTGACCGCAATATTGCCGACGCCATCGACGTTGAGAGCTTGCGCGACAATCTTCCGCGTTCGGCCCCCGGCGCCGGAACGCAGCGTGGAAAACAAAGAAGCCTGAGCGTAGCTGACATTCCTCCCATCGGATAGGGGCGGCGCCCACTGGGAGCGTGTTTGTCTTTTTCGAGGCGCATGAGTTAGCGTGCGTTCTCACAGTGACGGTGAGAAGGCCACGCTCGCGGGCCGCTGATGTCAAACATGCCGGGGCCTCTGTTTGGTCATTCCGTGCGCGGGACAACCGCTGGCACTTAATCCTTTGCTCAAATAAGTTAATACCTCAACTAACACGTCCAAGTTCAGGGCCAAATGCAAATTCCACCGTGACAGACACAGTCCAACCCGGCAGTAAAAGCAATTAATTACGGGCGCACACAGTGACTCACCCACACTCGCCTCAGAAAAGAGCGCATTTTTCATTCTGGTCCGTCACCTTTGCGACTGCTCTTTTTCTCCTTTAATTATTAACTCAGGTCAAGGGTCATGTGTTGATTTCCGTTTGTTCGTTTGTTTGCAAAAACTACTAAGTTGCGGCACCGCGCTGCCTCTCACAGGTCAGTGTGGGTACGACAACAGACACTGTTGCGTGTGCGTGTGC